TATAAAACAAAAACTCACTGCTAGAAAGAATGAAGTGATTGAAAATGATAAATGAAACAATCCAACCAAGACGGCGTATCTATTGATTTCAAAAAACGAAGCGAGCAAAGAACAAAGAGCCAGAAAGTATAGTAAACCGAAAATCTGAAATTATAATTAGTAGTCAATTACGCCCTGTAATGTGAATCAAGTACTCACAAGTGGATAGAGTCTTAATTCTTTTACAATTATACTTCCAAACAATGTCCAAACCGAAAAAGTCATACCAAAGAATCCCAAAATCACATAATTCAAATGTTGAACTTCTCGCTTTGCTTCTTCCGACACTCTTGTTGAGCAACCACCTACTAAACAAATGAGAAGTGGGTAGAAATCGAGAAGAAATAGTAATTGTTTTGTTTTTTGAACAACAGGTAAAAATCATTCTTATAATAAATACCGTAAAACCTGTAATAGAAGGGCCCTCTAGCTTNCACCACCTTTAACCAAAAAACTGAATTTTTAATATTTTGCTGTTTTGAAAAAAAAATTGTATCCGAATTTTCAGAAATTCTGGCCACTCTGCTGTCTATTACTCCTCTCCTCTTTCGTTTTCTCAATTAATGCATGGTCCTGTTTCTTCACAGAATCGTATATTCTCTGTGAACATCGGAGATACGACTGGGATATGCAAAAGTCTCCAATTGATGGAGTCATTTGTCACGTAACAGTCAGAGAAGAAACCTAGTAAGTATGGAGGATTCGATAAAACTTCCAATTGGTTTTCAACTGAAATTTCAAAAATTTTTGTGAGCCACGTGAATCTTTTGAATCTCCCAAAATATGGACCGTTAAGTTTTTGAGAGCAACGTGTTTTTTCAACAAATATAACAGAAATATTACCACTTTCTGAATATTTTTCCCAAAATTAAAACTTTTGAAATTCACTACTTGTTATATTACACATTTGAATAAGCAATAAACTGTAATAATGAATTGTAATAAGCGTTCAGTGAATTCACAAAAATAAAATTGGAGAGTTAAGAAAAATTTAGTCCATCGTAAATCAACCATCCGGTCCGTCTAATTTCAATACATTAATGACGAATAACTTCAATTCAGCTCACTGTACTCTGACGTCATCTTTTCAGAACATTTTTTTTTCAAAATTTTCCTTTTTTCTCATGACTATTGGGTCAATATCTCGTTCCGGGTTATGTGTATGCACAGGTTACATTTCAAGTTATTCGTTCATTTTTTCGCATTTCTGTCAAACACAATTTACCATGTTTTGGTTTGGCTTTCTACTTATTTTTCCAGTTTTTGGCGAGGAATCCACTCAACCTCCTCTAGTTAATGGTAATTATGAACCAATATCGTTTCAATATTCATGATTTCAGCGTGTCTGGAAAGACAGGATTTGAATCCGGAACTGCCGATAAATATTTCCAAAACTGTCTCGTTTCCCAATGATACCAACATCACATTTTTAGAAAATAAAGGCTGTTCTTGGGCTATTACTATCCCAAATAATTATTTTGCAATTCTCTACATCAATGCATATGTTCCAATAGGTGGTAGCATATCAGTAACCCAATCACCAAATCATACGGAAAAGTGAGGTTTCTGTTCTCCTTCCTTTGATTCGGATGATTTTCAGATTTGTGGATCATCACGTGGAAGTAGCTCTCCTATTTGTTGCTCCCAGTTTCAACCTAAATTGGTTTTCTGGAAATTCGTCGAAAGGAAGCATCCACTTCACAGTGAATTGGCAGAGTTGTGAGCGAGTTATCGTTAAACCTGTATTAGAAGGGCCCTCCTCTATATTTTTTGTGCAGTTTTCAGGGGCGGGCACTTCAATTAGAGAGACCCTTCTGATACAGGTTATACGGTATTTAACATTTTCATTTTGCTAAGTTTTCAGTCCCTGAAAACATGACGACTCAGAACTACACTCTTGAGAGAAACAGTTCGTCAATTATACTGGATCATGAGGACACCTACACTCCAGTTGTATTCCACGCAGCCACAAAAGTATCCATTCTATGTTTACCTGGAACTCAAAGAGAAGAAGATACTTATCTAAGAACTGGAATTGTATTCGACGGACCCGATTTGAATAGTCCGTTTCTTGGAAGGTTTCCTTTTTTACGTTTCAGAATCAATCATTTTTCTGTTTCAGTTTATACTCTATTATGCGATCTCAATCTCAATTGATTTCGACAAATTCGACTGTAACGATCTTCTCAATTGTTCCTATCGTGTCTCATCATCATGTTATTGTTCAGGATGCATCAAGTAACTTTAAAAATACAAATTATTAATTTCAACTTCAACTTTTAGTGTATCAAAACATCAGTCAAATAATTGGATTAAACGTTAATGATTCAGCAGTGGAGATTATTAAAATCAATGCTCAATCTGGAAATTCCGTCGTTTTTACCCATAACAACAATCCGCTAATAGATGAATACTTAATTTCCGTAGATTTGGAATCCGGAAATGAGCTACAAGTTTATTTCGAAGGACTGTCTGAAAATCAAAGAGTCGCAACATACAGTACCAAAAACAATAGAACACATTTGCCTCAAAAACTTCAAGGACGTCTTCGATACTACGTTTTGTCGTCTGGAAATGCCACGTTGTCATTGACAAGAGACAAATGGAAGGCCAATTGGGAGAAGGCGTTCTCTGGAAGACGTGGATTCTTCACTTCAAAATATTGGAAAAGTGACAATAAACAAATGAGATCACAGCAAGACTCGTTTCATTTCATCGGAAAGGAAGAGCGAAATGCAACAGAATTCAGATTTTCGTATCGGTTTTTGGAAGCCGATTTATCAGGAGATAACAATATTCATGTCGTTGTTTCAGATAATGTTCAAAGAATTCATTATTATGATCAGTGAGTTCTTAGCAATCATTCATCAGACTAACTTTTGAAAATTCCAGCCGAACATCATCTGAATACACCAACGACACTGAATGGTACTCTCATTACGGTCATTCGATTTCGCTGGTCTATTCATCAATTAACGCTCAATCGACTGGATTTTTCGCAGAATTTGAAATTGACTCAGCATCCGGGAACTATTCCTTTTGGTTCATATTTGTTATTGTTGTTTCATTTTAGGTCTGAACGTTTTTTCATGTTTCGCTTATCAGAACACATTCTGATAATCGTTTTTATTCATGTAAAGTAATGTTTTTCAATAAAGAAGAATTTCCTTTGTTATACTGATACAAGAAGGCAGTGAAAACATCGGTGGCCGTGAGCGGAGGTCCCACAACGACAACTACCGTAACCTAAAATAGGTTTGTTTATTTTCGGCATATTTTTTTCGTTTTTGCTGTTTTTTTGGTTTTTCTATTATTTCAGAAAAGCAGAAATATAAATAAAAATTTTTGATAGTAAAAAAATTAACTGAAAACGCTCGAAAATCGAGATGATAAATCATGAAAATACAAATATTTTTAGGTTACTGTAGTTGTCGTGATGGGACCCACGGCCACGGCCACCGGCTTTTCTCTTCCACAGCTCCGATTTTTTGAACTAGAAGAATACTTTAATAGGAATACATTGTATTCATTTTCAGAACAGTGTATTTGATGATAGAGGAGCTCCTTCTGCTCTTTCCCAATGCGATGACCATACATGACGTCTTTTTCCTTGTATCAGGAAAATTTTTCCGATGTGAATCACTATCGTACATATAAATTGTCATATTTTCTGTCTCTCGTCTCCTATCAAAGCTCAAAATGATTCTCGCTACACTTTTATTTCTAACAGTCGCTTACACAAGTGCCCAGGGTTTCGGTGTGTCACTTGCGAACCTTATTTCAACTGAAGTTAATTATTTAAGATTGTCCTGCCGTTCCTTTCAATTCGCCAGATAACATAACAGTATGGTCTTGGTATCCAAATAATTTTTCCAACACACAACCTCCATTGTTTCCAAATGACTATAACTGCAATTATAAAGTGAGAAAAGTACACAAATTCCTTGATAGCCATTATCATTCCAGATAAAAGTTCCACAAGGTTTGAGCGTAGTTATTCGGTTATTTGTGAATTTGACGGTTCCACAGGATCGAGCAGTTGCAGTCCAAGTTTTCGACCAGAATCAGAATAGAGAAGCGTGAGTCACATTCATATTTTCTAGCCATTCTTTTGTGTGGTGTTTGTACAACCATAACACAACGCTTTATCATCATAAGCATATTTCAGAGTTTACTCTGCAAATGATGAACACTTCTTCTTCATTGCTGGTGGTGGATCAATCCAATTGAACACTACAGATCAAAATGTTCATTTTGGATTCGCAATGAGATGGTACAAGGGTATGTTTATAGTTTCTCTCAACTCCTTACAGTCTTCTTCTCCAGATGAGAACGCATTTACTCCTCAAATAGGAAATGTGTCCGTTTCAGCTCCACAGCCGTTTGTTTGGTGGGCCTTTGGTGATAATCCATATCAGATTAAAGCCGAAACTCGTGTATCTCTTGTTGTTACACCTCCTGAAAACGATTTCGAATTTCAATACCTAAGAGGTGTGATAATTTACGATGGTCCGGATTGGAACTCAAAGTGTCTGGGAAATATATTACAAGTTTTCAATAGCAACAGACAGCTTGTTTCTTCTGGTCAATACCTGTCAGTTCGTCTATTGAAACCATACTATCAAACTGGACGTACTATGTTGATATTCCAAGATTATCAAAACACAAAGGATATTGTACAGTATCAAGGTTTTGCATGTGTCGATCGAACGAATTGTGGAACTGTGAAAATGGACGGATCACAAGGACTTGCCGCGTTTTCTACTGTGAATGATGACATAACTGCAGAGTATGTGACACAGGTATCTGGATCAGGATTTTTAGAAGTCTACATTGGTGGGCACAATATAGCCAATTTGATTGCCACCTATACGTGAGTTATTCAATAATTCTCTTCATTACTAATAAATCTGTTTGTAGACTAGACAATACATCTTCTACCTATTTCCCTCAAGAATTTCTTGGATACGTCCGAACATATGTCCTTAAAGGATCATCTGCTTTTGTCAGCTTAACTCGTAACTCGGAAGATCTTTCACGAAACCAGGCAGTGGGAAGAAAAGGATTCTTCGCATCTCGATATTATAAATCCGGCCAGCCATCGAGGGACCAAGACATTTATGATTACATCAGAGCTCCGAGAAATCAAAAGTTCTTATATTACTTTAATATTCAAGAGGCTGATTTTGTGGGAAATACAACACTGAATGTACAAGTTTACAATAACGGAAAGAATGCTTTTGACCAAACGTAAGCCTTCATGTTCAAGATATTCAGTTAACTTCTAATGTTGTTATAGATTCAATGCTACGAACAAACCATCATTCAACACGGCATATCAAGCGTTGGGAGATGGTTTTAGTGCCACATTTAAAACATATGGAAATGTTGGAAATGGATTTCTCTTGAACTATGAATTGAGATCTGGAAGTGGCGGGTTCCAACTGTTTACAGTTATACTAATAACTTTATTTACACTTGGACGATAACTTTGTATTTTGAAAAAAGTATAAATTTCGAATAAATGGTTTCCAGATAATTGCTTCTGTTTGTCATTGACAGCTCACAAAGAATACAAACTCAGAAAATTTTGGGGAGAGATTACCTGCGAAATTTAGAAGTTACACTGCCCAAGTGGGAATTACCCAAGCAGCATGGGGGTTACCTGTGATGTGGGCTAAATAGGGACAAATAGGTGAATAGTGAATTTGAAGTTCTTTTGTTTTCTTTTAGATCCCAAAAGGTGAAACTCCCTTCTTCTGTGGTAGACCACTTTCCTTTACCATCAAACATTTCTCTATCAACTCTCGGCTTAGCAGATTATAATACTGTTTCAAACACTTGTGAAACACCAAACTCCTCGTCATTTCTGAACCAGATCATTTCCCACATTTTTTGAAATTCAAAATGTACTTTTCTTCGCTATTCATACTCTTATTCACATTATCCACGACCACTGCATTTTCCCAAGTTAGAATACGTTTGTTTTTTTTCAAATTCTACCATAAATTCATTTTTTTTCAGTGTGTAGTCAGAACGGTACTGTTGCTGAACCAGTTGCACAAAATTCTTCTACAGTATACTTTCCACCATTCTGGACAGAAAATATGACAGCTCCTTATTATAAAGCGAATCAAAAGTGTAGTTCGAAAATCTTAATCCCCAATGGAAAATACGTTTTGTTCACAATGAAAGCCAATATTGATGTGGATAGTCGGCTAAAAATAACGGATGTTAATGGAAAAGCTGAATTGTGAGTTGAATTATCGATAGGGACCAAAACAACACATGTGGGGTATTTCAATGTGATGTACACAAAATAAAATCATCATTTTTTTCTAGTTTCCGTCTTATTTTCACACGAGTTATCAGTCGACGGTACTCGGCGGATTATGACACTTTTCCCCCAATTTTTTGTCAAAAATGAAGTCATTACGACTGCCTTGGGTCTTTCTTTCTAGGTCATTCTCAATTACAACATGCTGATATTTCTGGTTTTCTGTATTACAATCTCTGGAATTTATTCTTACGACAGTACATTTATTAGTTAGTTTTAGAATAGAACGTTATTATATTTTCAAAATTAACCAATTTTTAGCCTGTGATCGAGAAAGTTATGTTTCTTTCGGAGTGGAAATTGAGCCATTTTATTCGCAAAAATGGAACGAAACCTTACCAGCACCTGTATATGCCCAAAGTCAAAAGTGTTGTTGGAGGGTTTATATACCTATTGACTTTTATGTTTTATTCATAATGGAAGCTAATATTGGTGTGGACAGTACGCTGAAAATCACAGACATTAATAATAAAACCGAGATGTTAGTTTGTCAAGTTGTGGACTCTCTAAAGCCTTGAGTTCTAAGCAAAGGGCACTTCGTCTCAAAATAAACTCCCGTTTAAAACTTCTCGATACTTCAGAGTAATGACAAGTGACCAACAACCGTATGTCTTTGTTGGATCCTGGTTTACCATCGATTTGACTGTTGGTCCTACAATAGATGCCACAAGCTTTGGGTTCAAAGTTGAATGGAATCCATGTAAGTTATTTGTTTTAACATATTATTTATTGAATTCAAATGAATTATTTAATTCAGATCCAAAACCAAACCCAGCCTACTACAACGTTACCAAAGCGTCCGATGCTCTAACTTTCGACGAAATGCTTTTCGAAAACTCTGTCACAATTACTGCTGAAACTCAAGTAAACCTTTTGATTTTTATTTTGAAGGAGGGGGGACATGAAAATTACTATTTGTAATTTTGTTTATATGAGCCCCTCGAGCAGTTGAACTTGTGGGACGCGTATGGAAGGCCGCTCCCGACTGAGCCACGCGTGCAAAGCTAAAGCGGAGATGGCGCACATAAAAGCGGTCCAAGAAAGCTATACGCAGGGTGAAAAGTGAACATTGTACACAGTTATTGTCGAATTAAAAAACTGGCACATGAAAAATTTCGCGGGCTGCGTTCGTGTCGATTTACGAGACTCCGCCCCAAAGTCACGGTACTGTAATAAAAAATTGATTCCGATGAATTTAGTGGGACAATTTAAACAAAACTTAGATTTCTTGGTCTAAAAATGATCGCTAGCGTCTCCACAATCCCTTTTTTACCGAAAAACTGAACTTAGTTACGGAAGTGACTTGCACGAGGCGATAGTCTGAAAAAGTACGAATATACCGCGTTTTTTCGTAGATCATAACAAGCGACGGTTTTCAAATTCTCAGGGTCAGTTTTTTAGTAATTCGTCAATACCTCAGAGGCCGTATGCAAGAAAGTGGAAAACCATTTTCCGGTGTTTGGAAAATGGTTTTCTGAGAGCTTTAACAGATTTTTTTCCATTTAAAAATGGATTCTGGGCTGAAAAATGACTAAAAGTGAATATAAGCACTGTGAAAATTCTCTCCCAACTATCAGAAAACAAT